TTGCAGCTCTTAATATTCTTTCTTTACTCTGTATGTTTAGTGTTTTGATTATTATGTGGCAGGAGGACTTTTTTTTTTTTTTGATCCAGTCTATTTGGTGTTCTGTAAGCTTCTTTTATCTTCATAGGCATATCTTTCTTTAGGTAGGGAAAGTTTTCTTCTATGATTTTGTTAAATAAATTCTGTGCCTTTGAGTTGAGCTTCTTCTCCTTCTTCTATACCTATTATTCTTAGATTTGGCCTTTTTATGTTGACTCTTATTTCATGGATATTTTGGGTTAAGCTTTTGTTAGATTTAATGTTTTCTTTAACTGATGAGTCTATTTCCTCTATTGTATCTTCAGCACTTGAGATTCTCTCTTCCATTTCTTGTATTCTGTTGTTTGTACTTGATTTTGTTGTTGTAGTTGTGTTTTCTGATCTTTTTCTCATGATTTCTGTTTCTATAATTCTTTTGGCTTGTGTTTTCTTATTTTTTCTATCTCAGTTTTCAAGACTTGAAATGTTTCTGTTACATGTTTGAGTTCTTTTTCTTGGTTTTCTTTAAGTGATTTGCTGATATTTCCCCATTTTTTGTTTGGTTTTTCCTTCATTTTTTTAATGTGATTTCTCATTTCATCTTTAAGAATTTCAAATATTCTCTTGAGGTTTTTTTTAGATCATTTTCTTCTGGTTCATCCATATTTGGTTGTTCAGGGTTTACTTTTGTAGGGTCTTTAGGTTTTACTGGTATTGTGTTGCTCTTTGTGGTGTAGCGTGTGATCTTACCTTTTCTACTCATCTTTTCCTCTGATAGATATGGTTGGGGCTGTCTGAGATTCTCTTGAATAATCTTCTAGGTGCCAGTGAATCCAAAGCTAAGATGATTGTTCCTCATGGTACAGTCAGTGTCACAGTTCTAGTTACCCCGTTGTTTATTCCTGTTCCTGGAGGTAGCTCAGTGCTCCGTGGAGTTTGCTGTCTCAGGCCTACTTTGGCCTAGGCTTCTAGCTTTGATCTGTTTCTGTAAATCTTGGTCCGGATCTCCTCTTGCAGAAGTCCTTGCTTGGCTTGGAGTTAGACCTGTTCTGGTGGCAATCGATGGCTCTGGATCTGTTCGTTGGGTCAATCCTGATCTGCTCATGTCCCAGGACTGGGTTTGCTCCTGACTCCTGCTCCTGGTGGAGCTTGTTTACTCTGGCTTTCTCTGTCCTAGGAGTCTTGTTAAATTCTACTCCTGGAATTTGTTGTCCAAGGTGAAGTTCCTTGCCTCAGGGCAACATTGGCTTAGGTTACTGAATTTGTATATTTCAAATGTATCTATTTCGGATTCTAAGCAGCAGTACATCAAGATACAGAACTTAATAGATGCCCGCATGCGTGTGTGTGTGTGTGTGTGTGTGTGTGTGTGTGTGTGTGTGTGTATGTGTGTGTGTGTGTGAACTAGTGAGATTCATCTAGCCCAGTTGGTTTGGCCCACTTTCACGCAGCTTAGCAGATCTGAGATTGTCTCTCAGTAGTCCTTACTATTTACAGACATTTGTAGAGTGAGGAGCTTGGTGCATCTGGTCAGTTTAGGGACTTCCTGAAGCTTTTCAGGTGTTTTCTTCCTGAGCTTTTGTTTGTTTGTTTGTTTGTTTGTTTGTTTTTAGACCAAGCTGGCCTTGAATGCACAGAGATTCACCTGTCTCTACACCCCCCCACCCCACCCCCCTGTCCCCCGGCTGGAATTAAAGGCACATACCACCACTGCCTGGCTTCTATTAGAGTTTTAGGATGATTTTCCACAGAATGCAATATTTTTGTCTTTATTTAGAGCATTTATCTGCTCCCCCCCCAAAAAAAAACTCAGCAGGAATGTTTTGTCTTAAAGGAAACTGCTAAACACTACCACCTCCCAACTCTCACAGAGGAGATGGGTGTTCTAAGAAAATGGGTTGACACTATTTTTTAAACAGAGTTCAACTCTCTAGTCCTTGGTGACCAGGAACTCACTCTGTAGAACAGGCTGTTCTTGAACTTGTTCTCACATCCTGAACATGGAGTGACGGGTATATGCTTGGTCCTTTGCTTCCATTTTTCTGTCCTTTTTTAAATTTGAGATAGGGTCTAGATATAGCTTGACCTTGAGCTTGTCAACTGAAGTGACTGGCCTTGAACTCTTGATCCTTCTGTCCCTATTTCTCCTGTTTGGGGATTATAGTCATGGGCCTGCATACCTTGAAAAAGCATTTTGTAACAACAAATATAGTGGAGGTCACTGAACACTGAGTTTCTATGAAAATCCATTATCTGTCATGACAAACTAAAATGCAAAGGTAAATTATGAAGCTCCATTATTAAGAACCATGAATTATTTCAAAGTAACTCTAAGATTGCAATTGCCATTGAAGTTAAAAATAGAGACTGATGAATTTACAAGGAGCATGGCAGCTGAGAGCTTACTTTTCCTAAGTGCCATGGTAGATCACATTTTTAAAAGACTTTCTGAACAGCTGGTTTGGGGTTGTAAGTAGGAAGGAAACCAGCAATCTAACAGCATGGAACTGAGCTATGTGGAATTCGTCAAAGAAATAGCACAACAGCTCAATTTGCTTTTTCTGGATAAATCTTCAAATTGAGCTGGGCATGTGGGTGATGGTAGCACATGTCTTTAATTCCAGCACTCAGGAGTCAGAGGTAATCAAATTTCAGTGAGAGCACAGACCTCTAGTCTATTCATGCTTGGGATGCTATAACAGTAGAGTTGCGATTTCTTTCTTTTTTTTTTTTATTATATGCTTTCCCTCTTTTTTTAAAAAAAGATTTATTTATTTATTATGTATACAGTGTTCTGCCTGCAGGCCAGAAGAGAGTACCAGATCTCAATAGGTCATTGTTGTGAACCACAATGTGATTGCTGGGAATTGAACTCAGGACCTCTGGAAGAACAGTCAGTGCTCTTAACCCCGGAGTTGTGAGCTCTAAGCCAGGGAAGGAAATAGGGCGGGTGGTGGTGGGGGTATTTAAATGTAAATTTCCCCCTTATAAATTGTGCTTTCTATGTCTTGCTTACAAAAGTCTCTCTAACAGATTACAGAAATACAAAACCGCTTTCCTAGTTTTTTTCTTTAAAAACCACTTTTACGTTTATGGATGTTTTGCATGTATGTATATCTGTGTACATGCCTTGTGGCCTTGGAGGTCAGAAGAGGGCAGCACATCCTCTGAAACTGGTGCTGTGAGCTGCTGTGTTGATGTTGGGAATCAAACCTGGGTCCTTTGGAAGAGCAGTTAGTGTTCTTGATTACTGAGCCATGTCTCTAGCTCCCTACCTATTGTCTCAACACTTTTCCTATTTTGTTTTTTACGTCTAAAGTTTTTATCCATCTGAATTTCCTTGTGTGAATGTATGATTTAAATTCAACTTTTATGTGTTCATTCAAGTAAATCAACTTCTCCAATATTAATTCATTTCGCATAGGAACTCATGACAATAATTTCGCTGTGTATCAAGTGTTAGAGCTTAGTATACATACTTCCATCAGGGCTGTGAATTTTAGTTCCTGCTCTTTCTGAGAGTTGTCTTAGTGACTGTCATAATTTTCCTTCTTTCATGTAAATTTAGAAATTCACCCTAATTCCATTCAACAGCTTATAAGCATTTCAGTAGAAATTGCATTAAGGGCTAGCAAAATGACTCAATGGCCTCTGACCTGCATGTGGGCTTGATTGGCCAGTCAGGTCGAAGGCCTTAAGAGAAGAATGCAAGAAGAAATTACCTACAGAACTCAATGTTCACTTGTGCTCAAGAGTCTCCACCCTTTTGTTGGACCCTAGAGTCCAACCACTGAGGAGGACTTCCCCCAAGAGACCATCTCACACCACATCTGATGTAAAAGCATGAGGATTTTATTAATTCTGTCATAACAGGGTCTTTCAGCATTCGGGAGACCAGAAAGACCCCGAATAGTTGGTACAGGCTACTTTTAAAGGAAAAAGCCACAGAAGGAAGGGGGGTGTCTGGGAGTTGTTCTTTAACTATTATGATTGGCTTATTCAAAAGGGCCATTACCAATAATTGGCTGGAGAGTGGTTGCCAGATCCGATGAGGTAAGAGAAAACATCTGAGGGTCACTTTGCCCCTATCCCAGGGCCTGAGTCAAAACATCAGTAACTGAGTCAATACCTAAGGGTTATCTTACCCCTATTCAGGGCAATGGGAAGTTTCTAATATCTCAGTACATGTATGTGTAGCTGTCAGGTCCTTGGTTCCCAGGGGGTAGGGGAACACTACTGCTGAGAGTGAGAAGGCTCAGAATTATCTTAAAGTTTTACACTTCCTTTTCAGATAGTTTAGCCAGTGTAGATGCTGTTACTTGCTAATTCCCGAAAATAAAGATCTTAGCTTCTGTGTAATACACAGCAACACTCCCACAGCAAGGCATGAGATTGCTCTGCATCACTTACATGTAAAATGAATAGTTTTAGACTTTTGTTGAAAATAAATCTTGCCTTTAGTTTTTGAGACAGGTCTTTAGTTTTTGATTCCAGTCTGGCCTCTACCTTGGGGCAATCTTCCTGTTTTCCATTCCCATATGCTGGGGTCAGTGAGTTACCATGCCCAGCTTCCCCCCCACTTTCCCCAGATGATGGCCCTACTATATTGCCCATACAGTGTTAGAACTTCTGGACTTTGAGCAATCTTTCTGTTTCAGACTCCTAATAGCTGCTGCTACAGGCATGTGCCTCTGTTCCCTATTCTGGAAAAGACTTTTGATACAGGGCTAGACGTAGCTCAGAGATAGAGTGTTTGATGCATGAGACTTTAGGTTCAATCTTTAGCACTGTTTAAAAATAAAAAAGTGTGGTGGAGCACACCTTAAATCCCTGCCAGGCAGAGGAATGTGGATCTCTGTGAGTTCAAGGCCAGCCTGGTCTACAAGAGCTAGTTCCAGGACAGGTTCCAAAGCTACAGAGAAACCCTGTCTTGAAAAACCTAAACAAACAAACAAATAAATAAAAGTGGTCTCAGGGAAGACAAACAAAAAATATCAACTTTTATTATTCTCCAGGCTAAAAGTTTTCCAGCACACTTAATCAAAACCAAATTTCTGCAGGATGTGGTGGTGTACACACATTTATAAAACCAACATTTGGCAGATTTCAGAAGAATTCCAAGTTTAAGGCCCATCTGGGCTGCCTCAAAAAATTCATACTTCTGATCTTAGTTTTTAGTTTTTATGATTTTTTTTTTAGTTTTTATGATTCTACACCTGCCTTCCTTCTAACATTTATTTCTCTCTCCCTTTTTTTCCCCCTACACTCCACCACCACGCTGGTCCTTTATTTCATCCATCTTACCACTATCCTTTCAATTAGTCTTTGGGCACTTTTCCTCAAGATATTCCCAGTAAGGGTCTGGAAAAAAACCCATGAGAAATGACATCCTCTTAGGAAACACCAAGTTAGCGCCGCCACCTTCCTCCTTTTTCTTCAGATACTCTATTCCATTGCCCTGATTTCCCCCACCCCATAACAGTAAGCACAGGTTGAAATGATCTCACCCATTGTATTTGATTGACAGTCGCCTATCCAATAGAACCACAGTATTCATTTATGCACCTCTTCCAAGTGTTCATCAGTGTTCTAACCCCCTCACTTTCCCATTACCCATACAGTAGGCATTTTTTTAGTATTTTACAGATGAGATACCTGCCATTCACAGAGATGAAGTGGCTTCTCTTGCAAAAGAATCTCACTTGCTAATTCTGGAAAGGACATATGCTGTGGAGGCTCTCCCGGGATGTGTACCATGTAGGCGCTTCGGCTTCACCTGATCAATGAATCAAAATCAATAGTTTACCAAGATTTCCAGGTGATGTCTACCAAAGTTTAAGTCAAAGACAAGTTAACTCCTAAGTAACACACCTTTCACACGCATCCCAACTTCGCAACCCACACTCTAAGACAACCATAGGCATCTTTTCACGCCAAGGTTCCGCTGAGCTTTGAAAACTTTGAAGGAAGAAACGAACGGGAGAAGTTGCAAGGTGGGACGGAAAAGCAGTCAAAGCTTCTGTTACGAGTCCCTGCCCACAACAAACCTCGCCTTCTGCCCTGAAGAAAAATGGTTCCCGGAATAGACGCAGTTCCGGTCTCGGAGTAACAGCCAATAGGAGAGGCGAGAGACCGGAAGTAGCCTCCACGCCGTCACTCCTCTGGGCGCCGCCCCTCTTTTGGGAGGATGAGACGTTCCAGGGGCAGTTGCGGAGCTTTGGTTGCTGGGTGACTGTTGGAGCCGGCACGGAGTGAGTGTCCGTTGGCGGGCGGGGATGCCCGGGGTGACCTTCGAGCTCCGGACAGGGGGAACGAGGGCGTCCTGACCGGCTGGGGCGGCGGGCCGGGCCGGTTTGCGGGAAGGCCTGTCCAGGTAGGAGTCCACCCGGCTGGGCCAGCTCACGGCCCAAGCGGCTTCCTGTCCCCACGCACCTCCTCCGCTCCTCCGTCAGTTCAGGATTCCGGAGGGACCCACCCTCCGGGTGACCACGGCGCTTCATTTCACGCACACCGGGGTTAGTGGGTAATTGTCTTTGGTGTCTTTCATAAGAAGCTTCCAGGCACAACGTCTTTTATTTTAAATTTAACATTTTTTGAAGTTTGGGGACTTTGGCTTGGAGCCTTCATGTCTCCTTTTTTTTGGTTTTTTTTTTTTTTTTTTTTTTTTCTCGTACAGACACTGGAGCCTCCTTTTTAAAAGAAATCTTGAGTCCTTAATTGTGATGAAAGCTGCCGCTTTCCCAGTGTCTTGACTGCAGTTGTGACCTGGGAATTTTCTTCTCTACACGTGAATTGGGAAAGTTAATAACTTAGTTATGATTTGCAATCTTGGCTTCCTCTCCCTAATCCAGTTGCCTGATGGGCTTAAAAGACGGTGGCAGCCACGGCTTAGCTACAATAGTTTCATCTTCACTCGAGGGAAATAAAGGAGGAAATGCACCCAAGACTTTTGTCATTAGCCTTTACCGATTTTACATTATTTATTTTTCCGGAGTCGAGGACTGAACCCGCGCAGGTGTCACATGCTTGACAAGTGCTTCACCACAGAGCCACCATGCCCTCCCTTGCTGCATCCCATTTCTAAACTTCTCATGCTGAGACAGGGGCTTACTAAGAGACCCAAGCAAGCCTCGAACTCAGTGTTGCCTTTGTAGGCCTTGAATTTACAGGTTTTCCTGCCTTAGCCTCCTGAGTGACTGGATTATAGGCAGCACCAAGGAGGCAGATTTCACCAGTTTTAGTAAGAGCGCATTCAAGAGTGGTCTTCTGTTACTGACTAAAATGGTTTCTTAAAAAAATAAATTACCTAAAAAATTATCTTAAATCTATTTGGTCTATTTGGTCAGGTTAATTTTTGCCATTAGGGACTTGACACACACACAAACTGGCAGGTATTAGCATATGTATGATTTTTAAAACATTTTTTGTTTGTTTTTAGTTTTTTTATTTCTTTTTTATGTTTATGTTTTTCCTAGTATCTTTGGAGGACAGAAGAGGGTGTCAGATCCCCTGGGACTGGAGTTAGATGGTTGTGAGCTGCCGTGTGAATTCTGGGAACCCGATTTGAGTTCTCTTGAAGATGAACAAGTGATCTTAACCACTGAGATATCTGCCCAGTCCCAGAAATATACACATTTTTATCATATAGTTTTTAAAGTTACATTTGATTTATGTATGGGATTGTTGGAGTTTCACAACTTGTGTTGGAGGCAGGGAACACCTTTTTGGGGTTGATTGTCTTCTTCCATCAGTTGGTTTCTGGGCATTGAACTCAGGTCCTTAGGCTTAGCAGTGAGTGCCTTTACCCATTGGGCCATTTTTAGGGACTCTAAGTGTTTTGCCTGATTGGTTTTGTTTTAAGGAAGGTCTTGTCAAAGCTGGCCTGCTTCAGCCTGCTCTCTGTTGGAATTACAGAATGTGACACCACAGCTTCCTTATTATTCAGTTTAGTTTTTATTATTTGTTTAAAATGGCTATTCTCTTTTTAATGAATGTTTTAATTTTTATTTTATGTGTGTGGGTATTGTGGCTGCGTGTAAGAATGTGCACCATGTGTGTGCCTGGTCCCTGGGGCCAGAGGAGGGTATCAGACCCCCTAGAAGTAGAGTCGTAGTTAGGAGCCACCATGTGCCACGATGTGAGTGCTGGGAACCAGGGTTTTCTGGAAGAATTGCTGGACCACCTTTTCAGACCCCTTGTTATTCAGTTTAATTAGTGCTTTGGAGATGAGGAAAGCCCTGCTATGTTGTGTTATCCAAGCAGAATTGGATTTCCTTGGTTCTGTGTACCTCCTGCCTCAGCCTGCCCCATAGCTGAGACTCCAGGCATGTATCACCCAAAGGCTCATTATTGCTTTTTAACTTTTTTCACCCTAGGTGCATAATGGCAGAAAGTGTGTCTCCACTGAAGCACTTTGTGCTGGCAAAGAAGGCCATCACTGCGATCTTTGGCCAGTTGCTGGAGTTTGTTACTGAAGGATCACAGTTTATTGAAGGTTAATTTTTTTTACGATTTCTGTTGAAATATATACAAGTGTTTTATTATTTCAACTTTAGTTCTTTATTTTGTTTTGAGATCAGGCCGACTGTGTAGCCAAGAATGAATTTAAACTCCTTATCCACCTGCCTCTGTCTCCCAACTGCTGGGCTGCTGGGTTTACAGGTGTGTGCTTTGCTCAGGTTTATTGAAGTCACGTTGTTCTGTATTCTGGGGACAATACCATAGTGAGTTAAAGCGATTTCATAGTTAAGAAATGAGTAAGATACTAGTCAAAGTTTTATGAAATTAAAAATTCCTCCTCCTAAGACCAGTAGGTAAGTTAAGAGCAGACTCATTTTAAGGCTCTGTGAAGATAGCACCTTGCCCCAGGCCCACAGAGCTAGGATGTGCCCAGCCACCATGCATCTCTATACAGCCATTACATAGACCTTTTCCCCAGTTTGTTCGTGAGCAATTTTAGAATCTGTCTTTTATCTCTTCTGTCACATGAGATGTAATTGTTTTGGGAGAGGATAAATGTTTTCCTTTTGTGCTTGTATAACTGCTCAAAGGTAGGTAGCCTCGACTGTCTTATCAAGATATACTAATTTAGAGAGAACTAACGAATTTCTTTAGGTTCTTAACATATCTCCCTGTTAAGTTAACAATGAAAAAGGGAGGAATTCTTAGAATGTTTGTAGTGATAGCCGTGGGGTGGCAGCGGCACGGGTGTGGTCTTTAATCCCAGTACTTGGGAGGTGAATCTCCAGGTGGATCTCTGTGAGTTTAAGGCCAGTCTGGTCTACAGAGTGAGTTCCAGGCCAGGCTCCAAAACTACAGAGAAACCCTGTCTCAAAAAAAAAAAAAAAAAAAAAAAAAAACCAAAAAAAAAAAAACACTCCAGAATTTCTATTTCCAGTGACAACAGAAAAGCATTTAATCTCTTGGTCGAATCAAACTTTTTCCCACTTGTTCCTTTAAATCTCCCTCACCAGATTGTGAGCTCCTTAGGTCTGGAACTTTTGTTATCTCCAATTCCAAATGTCACATTACTCAAGTTTCATTGAGTGAAAAAGTTTGTTTTCGATTTGGGAAGAATTTGAGCCAGCACAGCGACTTGTGAAAAAGTCTATTTGCTCCAGTTGCTAGTGAGTAAAACTGAAGTTAAATGCAGTAAAATCTCTATTGGTCTCCTGCCGATTAGAGATTGAACACTGCTGGGAACTAGTGAAAAGGCAGCATTAGAATCTGAATTCTTTTGATTTGTTCTAAAACCTCGGAAAAAATGTTGCAAGAAGGGGGGGGGGTGTAAATAGAAACATAAACCAAGAAGTGTAAAATGAGAAATAGCAAGGAGTATAATATGTAAGGTAAGGCTTTAAGCATTACAATCTTGGCTTGGTGGTGCAGATCTGTAGGATCTGGAGTTCAAGGTCCTCGGCTCCGTAGTAGCAAGTTCAGTGCCAGTCTTTCCACTACTCCCCAGTTGCACATGCTTTATTAATATACTCGAAATGTAAAATCGGTGGGAAAAGTTTCAGTCTCCTTGTTTTATCTTCAAAAAGAGACAGTTTTAGCTTTTTCTTCTATTACCAGGATGAGGAAAAAGTGAATGTTTTGCTCCTTTTCTCTTTTCTATTTTTTCTTCTGTGTAACAATCCTGGCTATTGTAGAACTCCCTCTGTAGACCAGGCTGGTCTCAAACTCACAGAGATCAACCTGCCTCTGCTTCCTGAGTGTTGGGATTAAAAGTGTGCACTACCATCTCCTGGCTCATTTCCTTTTCAAACCTGTGATCTTGGAACTTCCTCCATCTTTGGTTAGGGCTGTGTGTACAGTTTGCCTGCTCTGAGCAGCCCAGCTTCTGCTGCAGTCAGTATGTCTTTCTCTCTGCCTTTTCTTACTGATTGGACTATTGTATTCCTTCCCGGGGAGTCAAGATGTGGAGTGATGGGGAAAAAGGGCTTTTGTAGCTCACAGACTGAATCCCACCTTTCTGTCAGAGGGGTAGGAAACTTCACGGCTTAGTATGTGAACTTCTTTCCAGCTCAAGATTGGCTTGAACAAAAATAGATGGCTATTAGGTTCTTATTTCTTTCTTTAAAACTGGATTTTTGTGTCATATGGTTTGTATTTTTGACTGCTAGGTAAATATTAAGTAATCCCTTTTACCAAGTTCTTGAAATCTTTAATATTTTTGAAATTAATGCAGGGAAGTCATCACTGTGGGCATTCACCTTTTATTAGGAATTCAAGGTTATGGCTTAGTGGTCGAGTGCCTGCCTAGAATGTATGAGGTCCTAGATTAAATACCTGACACACACATCTTAAAAATAATAAAGAATATGCCAAATACTCAGATACTATGAAGATTTTTATTTTTCAAGTGATATGCTAAGGTATCCAGTTGTGTATGCTTAGCAGAATTCATTCATATTGCTTTTCTAATACTATTTCAACTTTGCAGCAACTTACAGGAATCCTGAACTTGATAGAGTAGCCACTGAGGATGATCTGGTGGAAATACAAGGCTACAGAAACAAGCTTGCCGTCATTGGGGAGGTGCTATCGCGGAGACATATGAAAGTGGCATTTTTTGGCAGGTAAAGCTTCATGATTTCATCTAGGGTTAGCTGCACAGGTCAGCTTTTCATTCTCATATCTCCTGGTGTTTCAGTGGGTTGTTTTCCTCTTGCTTCTCCCACTTAGGTTAAGTATTCTTAGGTTAAGTGTTGCAGCTGTTACCTTTTCCATCTCCTGACTGAGCGTGAAGCTTTATGAGAGCTGGTATATGTTCGCTTTTAAGAACTCTCTTCTCATAAGGATTCCCTAAGAAAGACGGAGAGATAGGTAATGAAGAACATGTTGTGTATTTTTTTTCTCCTTTTCTTCTTGAGACAGGGTTTCATGTAGCCTAGGCTAGGGTTGGCTCCAGTTTGCTATGTAGCCGAGGCTGACCTTAAATCCTACCACCATACCTAGGTTATGAATTATTTTTCTAGGTTTATATTGATTATTTTATTTTAATTTACTTGAGAATGGGGGTCTCACTATGTATCTTTGGCCATCCTGGAACTTGCCATGTAAACCAGGCTGGCCTTGAGCTCACAGAGATCTGTCTGCCTCTGCCTCCTGAGTGGAGTTCTGGGATTAAAGGCATACGCCTCCGCTCATAGATTACTAAGTATGTCTTCCAGAAGACTCAACTCATGATGGAAGAGCAGGGAACACTATATGTCAATATGTCTAAGTGATAGGGTGCTCTCTGTCACACGTGATATTCTCCTCTGGCCATCAGGTGTTGAGCTGCAGATGTGGCCTGTGATCAAAAGCCTGCCTTGTATACACAAGGCCCTAGGCTGATGACCTTGACTGCAAAGAAAAAGGACTGTTAACTACTACCTGCTCACTTGTGAGCCCTGCTCTGCTGAGGGACACAAAGACAAATGACTAGCCTTATACTTCTTGTCTCAACTATCTTTTTTATTTTTTTAACCAATAATGGCATTTATTTACTAAACTCATGTCAAGCTGTTTCTCATCTTATGACTTTTGCAGTTATAATTGTTGGTGCGCAGATCATTTTTCCTATTTAACCTCAAAAAGCTTTCCTCGCCACTGCATCTGAAGGATTCCCCCTCAGATTCTATTTGTTGATTTTGCTTTTTTGAGACAGGGTAGCCAAGGGTAGCCTTGAACTTATTTTCCCACGTTAGCTCTTCAAGTCACTTCTCTTGTTTCATTTCTGTTTCTAGTAGTGCTACTTGTAGTAGTGTTGCGGTGGGGCTGGGAGTTGATCCAGTCTTTGTCACATGCTAGGCAGACATTCAGTCACATGGCTCCATCCCCAGCCAGTTCTATTCTTAAAGTATCCTGTTAAAGTTCCTCTAAGCCTTTCACATTGCTCTATTATTTTGTTTTACTATCTGCTACTTCTACTTGGCACAGTATTCTCAGGCCTTAGACAAGTTTAGAGAGAGGTAATATTCTTTACCTAAGATTACGGTGAAGTAGTTAGAAGACACCTCTAGATGGTGGGGACTGTTGTCTTCCTTGAGGCTAAGAGATAGAACATGGCCCCTGACTTACAGTGACTGACTTCAATTCCTGCCCGTACATGATGTTGTGGAAGTGTTGCACATTCCTGTGCAGTAGAAGACTCACTTAGGGTGTGGCTGGGAGCAGCAGTTCCTAGTTACCACGTGATCGCTCAGCTGTAATTTTGGGGAGCCAGGAACATCTGTATTTTTGCAGCATATTACGAACTTGCTGTGTGTTTGTTGGCCTTTAAACCTGCCTTAGGTGAGGAATAAGCCTTGGATATGAGCTGGCCCTACCGCCTATTTCTTGCAGAGAGTAGCAAGTGGAAAGGGAGAAGGAGCTGTTAATGTTCTTGGTTAGGTTTGAGATACTCAAGAGCATTAGCACAGCAAGCAGAGAGAAATTTGCTGAAGACCTCCTAGGGCACAAATAAGTTCTGTATACTTTATGCTTTGAAAGGTAAAATGAGAGGATTTAGTTAACAATTATGATGTTGGATATGGAGCACAGAGGATAGGCTGAATGGGAATAGGAGGTCGGAGGTGAGGCATTCGAAGGTCTTAGTCTGTGTGGTTAGACAGGAAGGTTGATAGATATCAGAGAGTCAGTAGGGGCCAGGAGACGTGCAATGCTTAAGAGTACTTACTGTTCTTGAAGAGGTCCAGGATTCACTTCCTAGCACCCACCCCGTGGCTCACAGTTCCAGGGACTCCAGTGTCCTGCTCCAGCTTCCATAGCACTATATGCACATGGTACACATACGGATAAGTATGTGTATCCTAGAGATTAATTAGAAAGGTGAGAGTCACAAATTACTTGGTTGGTTGAGTATCATTTATTGTGGTAGGTTTATGAACAGGTGTTTGTGTTCATGTGATGTACATGTGTATTGTGTGTGCTTATTAGCCATTCAAATAAAGTTTTCCAAACTGCCAAGTTGGATATTTGAAATTGCAACCTAGACAAGTTAATTCACAGGGAAAAGGAAGAGTAATAACAAGAGAGGGGAGAAGAGGAACCATCCATGAATTAGAGATGCCACACAGCTCAGGAAAACTAGGAGTAATTAGGATGCTAGAAGAGAAGATGTCTATTTGGCATTCATGTCTCTTCCTATAACAGACTTGCTAAAACCTTTAGAGTTTCCTAAGTGGTAGGAATAGCTTTTATTACTTATAATGAGCTACTTTGATCATGCCTGGATTTATGCTAATGAGCCTGGGTGAGATAGAGTAGCCCTTAGATAATTTTAGGTTAGGGCTGGTCACTAAATGATTTGAGAGTTGGAAATAAAGCTTCATGAAAACAGTTGAAGAAATTCATACATGGTGGCACATAGCTATGATCCCAGTATTGTTAGGCACAGGAGGAAGATTACCTGTGCTTGGGTGTAACTTTATAGTCTGATTCTGTGGTTCATAATGTACCTGAGGACTTGATATCATTTGTAATCTCCCAGATTCTGATAGAGTTAGGGGTCTCAAACTGTTCTGAGAATCACTGCTGGACAGTGGTGGCGCACACTTTTAGTCCCAGCACAGGAGGCAGAGGCAGGTGGATCTTGAGTTTGAGGCCAACCTGTCTACAGAGTGAATTCCAGGACAGCCATGGCTACACAGAGAAACCCTGTCTCAAAAAACCGAAACAAACATCCATTTTATTGTACACACTGATTCCTAGTTCAGACACGATACAGTGGAGACAGCTTATCTTTGTTCCTGAAGATTGGGGCTGCTCAACACTGGAGGGGTAGAATTATCTGTTATTGGGCTGGAGTGACATGGAGACTCAGCTAGCACCCCTTGCCAGACCTCCCTCAGCCTGTCCTAACTGTGGCAAAGCAGTCAGTACAGTTGACCTCTTCTGTGGCAGGATTCCCAGTAAACAGGAAGGAGCTGCACTGCCTTTTATGTTCATCCTTGGAAACCACCGCTGTCACACAGTCCAGCCCTGAGAAGATGGGACATTAGACCTCATCTTGAAATAGGAAATGCACCACAGAATTTTGATGTTTGTTTTCAAATTGGCACAAGTTTTAGCACTTTATCTTCTCTAATTACACTGCTAATATTTAACAGCACTTGTCTGGTTTTCTAATTTGCCTACTTTTTTTTTTTTTTTTAAACTTTGTTTTACTTTGTCTTGTGTAGCTGAACTGGTCCTCCTGTCTCTATCTCCCAAGTTCTAGATCACAGGTGTGCTCTGTGGTCTTTTTATAAAAGGTGCTGTCTGTGAAATTGAACTGTGGAATGTTGGTTTGAGCACAGTGAAGCTTGTTTTTACTCCTTGTTTTGCATGTTCCTCAGGACGAGTAGTGGCAAGAGCTCTGTCATCAATGCAATGCTGTGGGATAAAGTTCTCCCTAGCGGGATTGGCCACACAACCAACTGCTTCCTGAGTGTTGAGGGAACCGATGGAGATAAAGCCTACCTTATGACCGAAGGGTCAGATGAAAAGAAAAGTGTGAAGGTATACTACCCAACCCAAAATGCACCTGGAAATTGTAAGATGTCCATGTGGCTAGGCATGGTTACTAGTGATACCCACTTTGACAGTTTGCAAAGCCATTGCTTGTATTTTGACTTCTGAGAGATAAATTATTGGAAGTATAAAATTGTTAACATTTTTATTGGGGGGATGGGGTGATAGAACCCAAGGCTTCATGTATGTTAGGTAAACTCTGCTACTAGCCCTGTCCTTAACTTTAAATAAAAATAGAATTAAGGTCTTATTTTTATTTTATGTGTATTTGCCTGCATTTGTGTCCACCAGGTTCATTGGATTCCCCCAGAACAGGAGTAGAGACAGTTGTGAGCTGCCATCTGATGCTGAGAACTAAACGTCAGAACCGTTTAGAAGAGCAGCCAGTGCACTTAGCCCCCAAGCCATCTCTAGCACCCAAATTAAGAGTTTTTTTTTTAAAAAACTGATTTAATAACAATAGTGTATTGTTGAAAACTGCTGTTTAATCTTAACTTTTCTTTTTCTTATTTTTTGAGATAGAGTCTCACTATGTTGATATTTCTGGCTTAGAACTCTCCATGTAGACCACACTGGTCTTGAACTCAAAGAAATTTGCCTGCCTCTGCCTCCTGAGTGCTGAGATGTAAAGGACATGCACTTTGTCTTTTTTAAAAATTTTACTGACATTCTTTTACCTTAGGAAAAGTTACTAAGCATATTCATGAGTAAATGCAGATTTGCGAAACAAAGGCCAGAGGCATTTTAGGTTCTTGAAAATAGTAACTGAGCTATTTAATTCCTGATCTATGTTCCTAGGTATTTCATAAATATCTTTTTTAAAAATTATAGGTTTTTATTATATTTGTTTATTTTGTGCATATGTGCATGCATGTGTGTGTTTGTGTATTCAGATGTCTTGATGTGCACATGGAGCTCAGAGAAGAACTTGAGAGTCAGCTCACACTTTCCACAATGGGATCCCAGCGAGTGACTTTTACCCACTGAGCCAGGCCACTGGCCTTATTTTATAAACTTTTTAATTCAGTGTTGCTATACTGCTTCAGCCAACAGAAGAATTAAATACTAAGAAATTAGAATGTTTGATGCTAACTTTGGCCTGATAGAATTTAGAAAGACATTGTCTTTAGTACCTTTTGGACCCAGGTTAAGCAAGTGCTTTAATGCTGAGCCATACCTTACCCAAGTATTTATGTGTATGCCCCCATGTGCACGCATGTGAGTGTATGCGTGCACACAATACTATGCACATGCCTGTGGAACTCAGGAGTTGATGTTAGATGTCATCCTCAGTTACTCTCCACTTTGTTTTTTGTGATATAGTCTCTCATTGAACGGGAACTCACTGATTGTCCAGGCTGGCCAGCCAGCAAACACCAGAGATCTCCCTGCTTCCATTTCCCCCGCACTGGAATTAGCAACATGCAGTGGCACACCCATCTTTAAGTGAGGTGTTGGGGACCAGAGCTCAGGTCTTCACACTTGTATAGAAAGCATTTTACAGGGCCATCACCCTATCTTCCCAACCTCTTTTTGTAACAGCACTTTATTTTGTAATCTGTACTGGCTTTGCATTTTAGAACTTCCTGGTTAGTCTCCTTAATGCTGGGATTTGAAGAGTGCTACCAAGTCATAGCCATCTTAAATAGAAAGATCTCACAAACACAAAAGTTTAGTATTGAAGATCCATACCTCTGTATGTGCTCATGTGTGCATGTATGCTGGGAATTGAACATAAGACCCTGTACTTTCCAGTCAAATGCTCTGCCATGGAACTACATCCCCAGCTCCTTGCTATTTCTGGTTTTGGTAAACCGTAGGTGAGTTTAGGTCATTAGTTTAGTCTGTTATTTACCTTTGTTGGTGGTGCACATCCTTAAAATTAATTTTGAGAGAAGAAAAATGAGATGGTTATGAAAGTATTCCTCAATCTTAAAATTTAGTATCTTTTGAGACATTATGTATCCTTGACTAATCTGAAATTTTTTGTATAGACCAAAAGAGATGCCCTGCCTCTGCCTCTTGAATGCTGGGATTAGGCCACACCCTTCAAACTTCTGACATACAATTTAGGGCATTTCTTAGTTAGTTTTCTATTGCCATGCAAAACACTGTGATGAAGACAATTTTAGAAGAGTTTACTGTAAGGTTACTTACAGTTTCAGAGGGACTCATGACCATCATGGCAGCAAGCATGGCAGTGGGCAGGCAGGTGTAGTGCTAAAGCAGTAGCTGGGAGTTCAAATCTTGTCTGCAAGCATGAGGCAGAGAGCTAACTGGAAACCCGCCTTTAGTGACATTCCTCCTCCAACAAGTCCATGCCTTCTAATCCTTCCCAAATAGTTCCACCAGCTGCAGAGCAAGCACTCAAATATGAGTGTGGGGGCCATTCTCGTTCAGACCACCCCAGGTACCACTGTTACTTTGTAATTAAGACTTTTTGCCAAATTGAAATTTGAATTATTTGTGTTGAATCATTTAAGTCTTGGAAAACTTTGCTGTGTGATATTTTATTTTCTACAGTTTTTAAAAATTTTTTAGAAAGTTTTATATGTATGAATGTTTTGCCTGCATGCATGTCAGTGTACAGTGTATGTGCCTGGTACCTGTGGAGGTCAGAAGAGGGTGTCAGATGCCCTGAAACTGGAGTTGCAGATGGTTGTTAGCCACCATATGGATGCTGGGAACCAAACGCAGAAACAAGTGCTCTAAACTGCTGTGCCATCAATTTTGTTTTAGTTTAAGTGTGTGTGTGTGCGCACGTGTGCGTGTGTGAGCCTGCCCAACCGTCTACATGCATACTCAGAAATGTCAGTGATGGTAGAAATTGGGGGAGGTGTGCACATGAGTTAGTGTTGGAGGAGGCCAGAGGACAGCTGGAGTTAAAAGCCGTTGTGAGACATACTAATGTGGGTGCTGACAACCAAACTCAGGTTTTCTGTCGGAGCAATACCCAGTCTTAGCTGCTGAACCATCCCTCTAGCCCTGCATTTCATTTCCCTCATCTTTTGTTTGTTTGTAATGGTAGGGTGCTACCCCAGGGGATATACGTTTGGAAGTGCTCACTGAGCCACTGCCCAGCCTTTAGGATCTTAATTTTATAAATCCTGTACTAAGATTGCTATATAGGCTTATCCATCTATCAAAGCATTTATTAAAGCAAGCCATATTAAAAACAAGTAAGCTGGGCAGTGGCAGTGCACACCTTAATCCCAGCACTTGGGAGGTAGAGGCAGGTGGATCTCTGTGAGTTTGAGGCCAGCCTGATCTACAAGAGTTAGTTCCAGGACAGGCCCCAAAGATACAGAGAAACCCTGTCTCGAAAAACAGCAAACAACAACAGCAACAACAGCAAAACCAAATAAATAGGAGCTTGAAGAGATGGTTCCGTGGTTAATGTCACTGGCTGTCCTTCCAAGGGACTCAGGGTCCATTCTTAGTACGTACATGGTGAATCAGAACACCTGTAACTCCATTTTCTGGGGACCTGGCACCCTCTCCTTGGTGAGCGCTAAACATGCAAGTGGTACACAGATAAACATGTTTACTAAACACCCATGCACATAAAAAATAAACTAAAAAAAAAACAAATTAACAAAAGTATCTAACATTGTCTCTGTAGAATATTACTTCAGCTTCATTTCAGACTTTGAATACATTTGAAAAGTAGATATTTCTCTATTTCCTTATTTTTTTGTAGGGGTGTATGGGTGTTTTTGTCTGTGTGTATATCTGTGTATCACATGGATACATTGCCTGTTGAAGTCAGAAGAGGACTTCAGATTTCCTGGGCTTGGAGTGGATGTGTGTGTGCTAGGAACCAAACCCAAGTCCTCTGGAGGAGCAACTAATGTTCTTAACCTCAGAGCCATCTTTCCAACCTCTGCCTTTTTATTTTAGTTTATTTAAGGAAGGGTCACGTGTAGTGTAAGCTGGCCTTAACTGGGTATGCAGGTATGGCCTTGCTACATCCCCAGGGCCACAGTTACAGAGGCAGGTGCCACTACGTTCTGTTTATGCAGTGCTGACATAGCATGGGCTAGGCAGACACTGTACAATTGAGCCGCATTCCCAGCCACAGCTATGGTGGTGTGTGTGCTATGTCCTTTCCTTAATTTTTCTAATTTTGCTTTAAGTTCCTTGTGTTTATTTTACATATATATGAGTTAATGTTAAATATGTACATTGGTTTCATAAGTTAATATACCTGAGAAGTTATCTTGAGAAATAGAAATGGTTTGGAATTTTAATGACAAGGATTTCAAGGTTTTTTGTGAATTACTGCCTGATAAGGAAAAAAAATCTTGAAAGACAGGCTTTGCCTCACTAATTTGAGTGTGGTGCTTCACATCTGTAATCCTAACACTCAGGAAGCTGAGGCCCGAGGATAGCCATGAGTTTGGGGCCAGTCTGGGCTAGACGTATTTGAATTGACCTCCCTTACTTCAGTGGGGCATTTAAATTGATTCTAGTATCACTTCTAAATGATTTTCCCCTTTACAACTAAACAGTCACCTTCATTTCAGAAGAACCAGAAAATATAAATTTGCAGAAACAACAGATCCATAACTCATCCTTTACAATAAACAGCCTTATTCAGTAGTCCCATTGGGCTCTGTTGCTAGGGTCCTCTTTGTTAAGTGTTTATCTTTCCAAACCCTGATTGCTTTATAGGTGGTATGAGTGAACTTTCAAAGAGGAAATTTTTCCCCTGTATTGGATTATTTTAAAACCCTGGTTTCTCAGGCTAGAGAGATGGATGACTCAGTGGTTAAGAGCACTGCCTGCTCTCGCAGAGGACCAGTGTTTCATTCCCAGTACCCATATATATAATAGTTCACTACCACCTGTAATTCCGGTTCCAGGGGATGTGATGCCCCATTCTGACCTCTGAAGGCAGCAGGCACGCACACAATACACAGATCTACATGCAAGCAGAATACCCATATACATTTAAATATATGTGTTTTTTTTAAAAAAACACTCATTTCTCAATTGGTCAGGTGGTTTTATTTCAAACCATTTGAAGTTCAACTTTGCAAAAATGGGTGCTATTCAGCTGGACTTGGTGGTCACACCTGTAAGTCCCAGTACTGTTGAGGCAGAGAGAGGGTAGTGAGATCAAGGCCAACCTGGGCTGCGTTTAGCACTAGCTTGGGCTAAAATGGATGTGCCAAACCATAGTATCTTTAATTTTTATTAAACCTCTTTTTCCTTCTCACTTTAGACAGTTAATCAGCTGGCGCATGCTCTCCATATGGACAAAGACTTGAAAGCTGGCTGCCTCGTGCATGTATTTTGGCCCAAAGCAAAATGTGCCCTCTTGAGAGATGACCTGGTTTTAGTAGACAGGTAAATTTACATACAAATTGTGTTTTCTCTTGGTTTACTTGGTAGAATAATGCTACTTATCACACTGCTGTGATCTGATTCCTGACAAGAAGCAGTGTGAGGGAGTAGTGGTTTGTTCTTGATTGGAGGCTGGAGTTCATCATGGTAGGGAAGATATGGCAAGAGCAGCAGCCCCCAGGAGCATGAACTGCTGGCCACAGTGTGTCTGCAGTTAGGAAGTCTACTCCTCCTTCCCCTTTTTCTTTCAGTTGAAAAGTCTAGGAGGTTTGTATGCTCTGAAGGTAACTGAATGATTATAGAATTTTTCCATTGCTTTTACTAATATGCATTTTTATGTGTTTTAAATTTTACTTTAGTTTGTGGCATTGGGGCTTGAACCAAGGACCTTGTGCTTACCATATAGGTATTCTGCCCTGAGCTATAGTAGCAGGTCCCATGGCATATTATTTTAAGATCATTTCACTAGTGCTTGATGAAGTGTAGTGCACATTGGTTGATTATTTTTCTTAACTATAGTATTCAAAGGATTCAAACATTTTTGTTATGTTTTTGTTTCTTCAATGAACAGTTTGATGATCTATGGAAACCGTTCAGTTTTGATGATTCCCCCCTCCCTTTTTTGAGACACAGGGTCTCTTATATAGACCAGGCTAGCCTTGAACTCACAGAGATCCACCTGCTTTTCTTTCGGAGTGCTGGGGTTAAAGATGTGTACCACCATGCCTGATCCCAGAGGGTTTTTGTTTTTGTTTGGGTGAACTTCTAAGCATTTTCATCTCTAAGCTATACTGGATATAGCTGATTGGAACAATTTATTGATATTAACACAGACTATTATTGGTACTTTCCCCCAGATTTTCCAGCATAAAAATTTAAAATGGAAAAGATTGCTTGTTTTGTCAAAAACATTGAATTAAAATTTCAATGCTTGATGGCTGAGAGAATGTCTCCCTTTTGGACTTGAAATGATAGAAAATGTTTTTTGTTTGTTTGTTTCTTTTAATCTGTAACCCAAATTTTGCTTTTTAACAAACATCATATGATATAGTGTTTGCTTCCTTCCCATTAGCCCAGGTACAGATGTTACCACAGAGCTGGATATCTGGATTGATAAGTTCTGCCTCGATGCTGATGTCTTTGTTTTGGTTGCAAACTCAGAATCCACACTGATGAACACGGTAGGATTTATTCTTACTGCTGTGCTTGGGTGGCGTTCACTTTAATTCTGTAAAGAGAGGGCAGTCCTGGTGATGAGCTGGAAAGTTCACTGAGGGCCTGCTTTCCCTAGGACTGGAGGGCTGTTGCTGGTCTCCTGTAGTGTTGCCTGGTTTCAGGAACAATCTAAGGCTCAGTGACTTTAGCTTCTAGTGTTTGTGGGTTTAGGGTGATACAAACATGAGACTGACAGTTACCCTGTGTGTGTGTTATCCTGGAAGAACATGGTGCCAAGGTTGTTGAGATGTATACTTAGGAGTCTTTTTAAAAAAATTCAAGCCATCTCTCCTCCTGTTTCCCTGTCAGGCATCCGGCAAAACTTTTCAAGTTCTCCTCCTTTCCCAACTTGATGTAGGTTCACGTTCATCCAACCCGGCTTGGAAGGTTCTTTATCCTTAGTGACCAGATTCAGTCCAGACAAGCTTTCAGAGTTTAGATATCTAGTATGCATACAGTAGCATGCTATTGAAAAGGTTATTCACCGGACGTGTAGGAATGACTGAGTACCATTGTAGCCAAGGTGTCACCAATAAGGTCTTACTATCACAAATACCAGGCTTCTGCTGTAATAACTGGACAGCTTGTTTCCTCGTTCTGTGAGAAGCTCCACAACTGTTTGAGGTGTTGCACAGGACCATCATCGTTTGCTGATGGCTAAGTGCCAAGTCCTTTTACAGCTTCTAGGGACAGATGTGACTAGAAGTGACAGAGTAGTGAAGAAAAGGCAAACAGATGGAAACACACAGAGAGTGGGATTGGGAGGACTGGATTATCTGATGGAGAACCACAGCCCTAGGTGCTCAGTGTGTCTGTTCTATGTGTGCAACAGAGAGGCAGGGTTGTTGCCTACAGCTGAACCAGGATATGGGGTTATTACAGATGGATAAGGGGGCAGGGGTATCACAAACAGCTGAACAAGAGGCAGATTTAGTGGGAGCGGTCTTTAGGTTGTAAATATCTGCAGGGAGAAAGCTACTGTGGACATTTCTGCACACACTGTCAGCATCCCTGTGTGAACCATAAAAAGGCTTTGCCATTTTCCTGTGTGTCAGAGGCCCATGTCAAACAGCATACATTACCTGAGGGCTTCACTCCCACAGATGAGCAGACGACTCAGCCTCAGTCTGACTCTGGTGCCTCTGATTATGCTAATCTCCTTTGTTTTTTTTTTTTTGTGCTAGCAGTCAGACTCAGGGTTGTGCATGTGTGAGGCAAACACTGCCTCTGAGTGGCATCCCCAGTCCTATTGATGCTGTTCTTTTCTTGCAGTTTGTCCACTTCTGAACTTTTCCTCTTTCAGAAATACCTGTTAAGCTGGCTGTAGTCACATGTCTGTAATCTTGTATATAGAAGCAGGAGAATGAGATATTTAATGCCATCTTTGATATATAATGAGTTCAGGGCCAGCCTGGATTATGAAAGACTCCATTAGCAGCATGTCTAAACCCATCATTAGTGCCTATTATTTTCTTTGTGGAGCCGATCCTATTTTCAACTAGCTATGGCATCTTGCTGTGAACAGACACAACACTTACTTTACAGTATTTATATAATGATCTTCGCTTGAACTTATCCAAAAGACCGAGAAGCAGTTTATATGATATTTGCTTTGTTATTTGAGTTTATACAAGTATGCCAGTGAACTCAGCTAAATTTATTTGTTTGTTTTTGAGGCAGGGTCTCACTATGTATCTCTGGCTTGTCTGGAGCTAACAGTGTAGAGCAGGCTGGCCTCAAACTCACAGAGATCTGCTTGCCTCTACCTTGGATTGAAGGTGTGCCCCTACCATAACCATCAGCTTAGCTAACTCTGAAAAACGATTTGAAGTGACTTTTAACTTCTGGGGCTATTATCAATCAATCACTTTCTGTCCTATACATACAGACTGGTGAGTGTTGGTTGAATCTCAAGAGAGACCTGGCAAGAGCAGGAACCCTTGCCATTGGTTTTGTGTTTTGATTTCCAAGGGCAAGTTGAGTGTTCACAAGGGTCTTAGTGGATGCTAATCACTGTGCTTTAAATGATTTAGACTTTAAGTCTGAGGGTTTTCATTATAAGTGTAAATAGAAAATGCTTGTTAAAATGTTGTTCTTGGTATTTTTCAGGAGAAACATTTTTTCCATAAAGTGAATGAGCGGCTCTCCAAACCAAACATTTTCATTCTGAACAATCGTTGGGATGCTTCTGCCTCAGAGCCGGAGTATATGGAGGATGTAAGTTTCACCCCTATTTTGAACTATAGTTGTGTACATTGTTATCTGAGAAAACAGTCGACCTCAGAGGACATCACGAGAAGTTATTCTGTGATTGTTGAAATAATATGAATATAGCTGGGCGTCATGATACACACTCTTATCTAATGCCTGACTTGGGAGGTGGGGGCAAAAGGATCAAGAAGTCAAAATCAATATGAGCTGTCAGTTTGAGGCTGGCCTGAGTCATACTAGACTCTGTCTGAAAAATTAAAAGAAAAAAAATAAGAGTATGATTTTGAAAACCTGTAGGGGTTTGTGACGGGTATCTGGTACACTAAGCTATAGTTTTTCTCAGAACTAGAGACTTCTTTTCATGTCTCACTTTTTTTTCCCCATGGGTGTTTTGCCTGCATGTATGTTTATGCGCCCCTTCCGTGCCAGAGGAGACTAGAATAGGGTCTTGGATCTGCTAGAACTGGAGGTACAGACGGCTGTGAGCTGCCATGTGGGAGAGCAACTATATTCTCAGCCATTTAGTCATCTCTCTAGCCCCATGTTTAACTTTTATTAAAGTATAGAATGTGTAACAGAAAATGCCTACCCGAATCATTTAGTGCTTGACTCGGCGGATTTTCATAATACCTGCATCAGAACGCAGATGAAATAACTGAGCCTGCCTGACTCCCAGAGCTTCTCGTGACTCTGGCCTCTTTCTGTTTTGGTTTCTTGCTTTGCTGTTTGAGATGGTTGTTGGGACTGGAACTATAACCTTTTGAAAGAACAACAGGGGTTCTTAAATGTTGAGCCTTTTCTCTAGTCCCAGTTTCCATATTCTTTTTTTTTTTAATATTTATTTATTTATTATGTATACAATATTCTGTCTGTGTGTATGCCTGCAGGCCAGAAGAGGGCACCAGACCCCATTACAGATGGTTGTGAGCCACCATGTGGTTGCTGGGAATTGAACTCAGGACCTTTGGAAGAGCAGGCAATGCTCTTAACCTCTGAGCCATCTCTCCAGCCCCCAAGTTTCCATATTCTTAAGAAAAATAGGCTGTTATGTTTCTATTTAAAATGAAGACAATAGCTTTATTTTATATTCTTATTGTAGTACTTATTTTCTGACTTCAGAGGTATTATTAACAGCCCCACAGGTGACAGTTTAGAAAATAAGCACAAGTAAAACTAAAAACGTTGCCCATTTCTGCCCACTACTGTTAATGTACATAGCGTTTTTATTATGCCCTTGTTATAGAATTGATTACATTGTTCCATACAATTAGGTGGGTGTTAAAACTCGTTTGTGATGTTTTATAATATTTGAGTAATATTTGATGTTCAGAAGGAAGATTATTAAGTAGAGATTTCCTGCCATCCAGATCAGACTTCATATATGTGTCACTATGAGAGTATGACCATGACAGCTTATAGAAGAAAGTTTATAAAAGTCTGTTCTGGTGGGGAGGCAAGCTATAGTCATGGCAACTAGAGCAGAAACTAAGGGTTCAGATCTTGAACTGCAGGCGTTAAGTAGAGAGAACAAACAAAGTGGGGAGAGGCCTTAAGTTCTCAAAGCCCTATGACACTTTGTCTGTCAAACAAGCCCATCAACTGAGTACAATTATTTAAATTCCCAAGCCTAGGTCGGATATTTCTCATTCAAAGCATGACAGTTACTATACCTGAAATTTAGTACAGGCCTGTGTTTGAAAGTTGTTATTATTTCTGTTTTATTTAAATTGTTAAAATTCCTGTGCTACTTGCAGGTGCGCAGACAACACATGGAAAGATGCCTTCACTTCTTGGTAGAAGAGCTCAAAGTTGTGAGTCCTTTGGAAGCTCGGAATCGGATCTTTTTTGTTTCAGCCAAGGAAGTTCTCAACTCCCGAAAACATAAAGCCCAGGGGTTGCCAGAAGGTGGTATGTAGTAATTATGGTTTCCTTCTTAAATATAAATGTAGGTCATAACTAAACAGTAGCATACTGGAAACCTTGTCTCCTGCTGCCTGTGACTGTGCTCAGCTGTGGTGCAGTAATATTATATGGCAAGTGTTAAATCACACTGTCAAGAGTTGTGTGGTAGCCAGGCGGTGGTGGCGCACGCCTTTAATCCCAGCACTCGAGAGGCAGAGGCAGGCAGATCTCTGTGAGTTCGAGGCCAGCCTGGTCTACAGGAGCTAGTTCCAGGACAGCTAGGACTGTAACACAGAGAAACCCTGTCTTGAAACAAACAAACAAACAAAAACAACAACAAAATAAAAAGAGTAGTATGGTGAGCTCTTTCATCATCCCATGCAGCAGGAGTCTTCCTTTTGTTCAGTACCCATCTGTCTTAATGAGCCAGCATGTTACTGCATGGTTGTGCCGGAGAACCTTTATTGTGCTGAAGATAGACCAAATGGAGCATGCCCACTGATACAGGCAGTTTAGTCAACCCAGTGATGGCCACAAAGTGCTTCCTTTAGGTGAAAAGGTGAAATGCTTGTTTGTTATGATTCTACAGTAAGAACAAATCTGTGAAACTGTGAAGATGCAAAAGGAAATTTGTGTTAATATGCTATTGTACCTCTAACTTCAAAAAGATACGACTTCAGTGCATACTAAATGCTTTCTAAGATAAAAAGGGCATTAACTATGTGTATGTGTGTAGATGATAGAACATAGTGTCCTGGTTAGATTTCTGTCAATTTGACACAAGCTAAGATCATTTGGGAAAAGGAAAAGTTTAATTAAACAATGCCTCTATCAGATTGACCACTGGGCATGTCTGTGGTGCATTTTCTTGATTAGTGACTGAGAGAGGGCCAGCCCACTGTGAGCAGTGCCACCCCACAGGTTGTCCTGGGTAGTGTAAGAAAGACAGCTGAGCAAGCCTTGGAGAGCAAACCAGCAGCGGCATTATTCTTTGACATCTGCTTTGGTTCCTGCCCTGACTTAACTTCACGATGAACTATGATGGGAAAAAGTAAGCCATGTTTACTCCCCAAGCTATTTTTGATTATAGTTGGTGTTTTAGCACAACAATAGGAAGAAAGCAAATTAACTCATGTAGTATAATAGAGGGTTTCATATCTTGTAGTTTACAGCAGATATGATGTTTTGGAACATCTGTGTCATAAGTAAAGGGAAGTTATTATACTAGATTTAAACATCTTTGCCTAAGTCAGGCATGATGGCTCATGCCTGTAATGTATGTTCTTTGGAAGTTCAAAAAGGAGGATTGCCACAAGTTCAAGATAGTACATCTGCGTAGTAAGACTTTGTCTCAAAAAACAAAAATCAAACTCTTTGCCTGTGTTACAGGTGGGGCACTGGCTGAAGGATTTCAGGCAAGATTACAAGAGTTTCAGAATTTTGAACAGACTTTTGAGGTAGGAATTTCATTACTACTGGCTTGTACATGGTACTGGTTGGAGAATGACTATAATCTCAATTGTCCACCTTTGTCAGTAACCTCTACTGTTATTAAGCGTAGTCCTTACAGCAGCAAGTGAAACAAGAAAGGTTTGAAGAAATGAAGGCCCTGCAGAAAGGATGACCTGTGAGAATTGAGAAAGGTGTATTCTATTTGTGTTTATAAATGAAAAGTGGTCTAGTATTGCTTATGTTGTGCAGTGAATGGTTATTTCTTGTGTTCATACCTGTGGAGCAAGAGCAGACAGTAATTTCTGTTGGGACAGATGATGGTTGCTGGGTAGTAGTTGACAAAAAACCCTAGCCAGCATAGGGGGAAATTGATCTTGGGTTGTAAGCATTTGGTTTTTTTTCCCCCAAAAACTTAAAACTTGTCCTGTCTTTTTATGAAACATTCTTTGGATGTTGACATTCTAAGTCCTTACACAGCCCTGCTTAGTATAGTTCTGTTTGATTTCCTATCACCTTCTCAATTGCAAGTGAACAAAGACTGTAGAATTAGAAAATTGCTGCCCATAATTATTCCCTATAAGGACTAATTGCCTTAATAGAGGATATAAATGATGAGTGTACCAAGCCAAACTTTTTAAATGAAAAGTTTATTATTCCCTAATCTTTTATTTGGTGAGAGAAAGACAGGTGAAGACATGTATTTTAAAAAGGAATTAATATCAACTGCTTTTCTTTCTAGACAGGGTTTCTCATGCAGCTCTGGCTGGCCTGGAACTTGTTATGTAGACCTTGCTGGCCTTTCTTAAAAGACAAGTGTTGATGTGTTTTGTTTTTTATTTTGAGTCAAGGTCTCTTTGTTAAGTTGGTCTTGAATGCTTGGGTCTTAGTGGTCCTCCCACTATAGCCTTCCAAGTCCTGGAGACCACAGGTGTGACTCCAAGCCTGGTTTTGGTAGTGACATCATGGATGTTTGGCCATTAAGGTACAAGAAGAAAGCTGGGTACATGGCTATAGTCTAAGCTACTTGGGAGACTGAGTCAGGATGATTTCAGGGCTATCCTGGACAGTTTAGTGAGACTGCTTTTTTTAAACAGTGTGTGTGTGTGTGTGCGCGCGCGCTCATGTGCATGTATAAAAAATGTGCATATCTCCATGAATATTACATCCAGGGAAGAGGTAAGTTCATCCTTCTTTTTTAACTCTGAGTTTAAAACATACTGAAATGCATTCTTGGGTGTTTGTAACTGTGCATTATTAATAAACTGACTTCTTTAGATGTTAACAAGAAATCAGAAAATAGATTGATCTGTGCTTTTCATTTTGGTTCTTAGTTTTTAAATTTGAAAGTCTATAACATGTTCTGACAAGATGGAATTGAGAGTAGTTTGATCAGTATTTCTTAACTTGGTACAAAGATGCAATAGTTTCTGATAATGTAACTCTGCAAACTGCACTTTCATGCTCCCAGCAAAAATTCATTAGTTCAGAGTGTGTAAGGACTTTCTCACAGTGCTCCTTCAGACCCTGTAGATGACTAGAACTCCCCATTGTGGATACCCTCGGTGGAAAGGCTTCTCTGCTTCCTTGTGTTTGCTCATAACTGAGTCTGTACCTCCCGTGCTGACGACGTTGAGTCCCTTCACTCTGTCTAGTCCAACTCTCGCACTGTGCTGTCTTTTCTGCGCTGGGTCTTCATTACTGACATCTAGATCGACTTCATCGAGGAACATTGCTTTTAACTTTTTTCTCTTAAAATTGTTTTTATGCTTTTGTTATTTGGCACATTTACAAGGCAGTTATGTAAAAGTCAAAGCTTAGTTGGACCATTTAAAAATTCTCAGAGGTGGGTAATGATTACAGGTTCTAGTGAAGGGTGTGTCTCAGATCCTCTGCTTCAAACTCATAGAACAGGAGTAGGCAACTTGCTGTCAGTAGGTTAGTAAGAATGAGTGATGCTTCAGGGAGCTTCATGAGAAAGGTACGGGGGAAGAAAGAAGAAAGGTAGCCAGGGAGGGACGGACTGTCATTACAAGCTTAAAAGAAGAATTGTTCTGCTTTCCTTACCTCAAAGAAAATACTGAAGAAATAGCTACACAGCGAAAAGTTAGGTTTTTCCTGAGTGAGACAGCCTTACGAGGTTGTGAATAGCACATTCAGTAAGTGTGGGCTTACAGATGACTCCAATGTAACTCACACAACTGAGAATTGAAGGTTGAAAGCTTCTGTCAGTATTGACAGAAGAACAATAGTCAGTTTCAGAAAGGCATGACCACAATTAGTATCACATGCACGCATGCACACATGTGCTTGCATACATACATTTATATATGTCTCTGTCTGTCTGTCTATCATCTATCTATCTATCTATCTATCTATCTATCTATCTATCTATCTATC